TATGTTATAGTTGAACAGAGATGAAGACAAAAAGCAAATAAAATGACATTGACTACATTAAGCAAAATATTATTTGTTAGTCAAATTTTTTGCTTAACATACAATAGCTGCTCTATAGAAGCATGAAGAAAGCCTACAGTGATGTTCTCTCATAAAAAAAAATAAAAAATAGCATTGTGACTGAGATCGCAGCTTGCCTTTTCAATACTGAGCTCACAAGCACTGAAGGTGTTCCTTGCTTCTTTTTCAAAATCATTCCTGATCATAGGTACTCTTGTATAAAATGAATTGTTAAAGGTCTTGAAAGGAAACAACAGGCCTATGTTGTAAAGGAGAAAAGATTAGATCAGGTCATCCAGATGTTATGAGACATGAACTTAACATCAGCACTATACTAAGAAAACTATTCATCTTTTATTAGACTACAATTTATTTACAGTTTTTAGTAGTTGTACATACATGTCCTTTCCACATTGCTGCTTTTCCCATAGTCATCAACCAAACTCCAGGACATGAAGTTCACCTTGTGCTTCTTGACCATATGGTTCTCTTGCCCTTCCATATAAGCTTTCTCCAAAACTGCACTGATTTCAGGTGTTTGTATCCAAGGTACATCTTTACAGCTCCAGCGAACTACAGAAAACAGAATGCCACATTCTTCAGCTTGGGCGAAGTCCTCCTGGGCCTTACAAAGCATGGACTCCACCTCAATTGCTGCACAACTGACATCTGAAGGGTTTCCAGTGATGGTTATTCCACCATTACCATTCCTGAAGAACTCCTTGATGTGAACATTAAACTTTGTTTGGAGAGAGAGGAGGTTTTTATGATCTCCTTGGTCAAGATATATGACATGGTTATTCTTTATTATCATGTTATCTGATGGGCTTAGCATATTAAATGTCCATGATGTTGCTTCTCTCTGAGCTCTGGAGTCCCTGGAGATGAACTCAACAGTGGGTGTTTTATTTGCCATGATTTCTCTGGCTGCAGAACCAAAGCCTGAAAACATTAGAATGAGGTAACAACATTCATCTCAGTAGTTTTCATGAGTATATATATTATTGCAATCCGGACGAAAGTGTAAAACTATGAAAGCAGGAACATTTTTAGTAAATATGAACAGCATATTTCATATATACTTCATTATATATTTTTCTCACTTGTCATGTCATTGCATACTTCTGGGGACATTGCCTCTCCTTTCATCTTTTTCATCTCGTTTTCGAAAGCCTAAACATTAGTGAAATCAAATATATGAAAAAAAAAAAAATTCTGCTGAATTGCTTTTGTGCATGATTCATTTTATACGACACAAGAAATCCGGATCGCTGGACCAAAGTTCCCCAGTAACATGTAGCCTAACTGAAGTAGCCTTGTTTTTGACATTACAAACAAATCTTACGTTGGATTTGACAAACTTCTGTCAAGACAGGCACGTCAATGACTGCCAAAAATCACATTAAAAAGTTTGTTAAAATTGAAATCGAAAGCAAAACAGTTGCGCGACCTTCAATGCATTAAACGCGCACAGAGGCTATACGTTAGCTAAATAACCTATTACGATGGTCACTCACCTTTTTATTTCCTATTCTGCAATACGTCCTTAGTTTTACCCAAACAGATGGTTTCAAAGTTTCGAAAAGAAGAGACTAGCCTACTGCAAACGGGTTTCTGCTTGAAGCTGAAACGGTTTTTTTACGTTGTGGAAAAAAACCCCGCCTGATGCATGACCTATATGAAAAAAAAAAAAAATTCTGCTGAATTGCTTTTGTGCATGATTCATTTTAAAAACTGTGCTGCACAAAATATTTATGCGGTGGATGAAAATAAAACATGATGAGTATAAAAATACTAAACGAAGGCTCAAACACTGAAAAGCAGAGTATATAATTAGCATATATCACCTCCATCATTTCATTGTCCTTTGGAAACACAACTAAATTTACATCTAGTTTCTTCTTTGTGTTCTGTTTGGCAAATTCTTTCACAGCATCTGTCATAATTTTGGCAACCTCCAATTTCTTAAAGCCCAGATTACCAGTACCAATAGCTGGGAAAGAGATGGACTTGTAATTCGAAGCAGTTTTCTTCAGACTATCCCATACCACGCTGTAAAGAATCTACAGACAACAACAAAAAGACATACTGTTTGTATTAAGACAGTTGGGACAGATCAGATTGTGTGCTAAATTACTGATAAAAATCAAATCTACCTGTGCAGCCTTAGGCTCAGACCTCGGTGTGCATACAGTATGAAAAACCGCTAAACAATTCAGATTATATCCTTCTGTCGCATAGAGATTAACTCTTGTCCAATTTTGGGTTGTGTTTTTGTTTTTGTAAATCTCGTCTTGAATCTTGTTGCCAGCTTTCGTTAAAATTGCTCTTGAAATCAGCCCCTGGGACAAATCACAGTTTGGTGCTATGGTATTTACAATTACGTCAACCTGGTGATTGAAGCAAAGTGAAAAGAAGCACATGAAATATCAATGTAAAATGTTTTTCCAAAATTAATTTTTTTCTTACAATTCCATGGTTAATATCAAACAAACTTTTTTAGAACTTACTCAAAATGATACAAAACCATTGTGATCATATAAATCTGATTGAACTTCAGAGCTTTGTAATTGATCACTCTTCTTTTTTTCTATGAGTACTAGACATTTTTCAGTCTTACCTTTTCCTCTTCAATAGACCCTTTTTTAAGGTGCAGTGTTATGTTCTCAAACCGCAAACTGTTGCATGAAGAGGAAGTCATGGTCTGGTTTTGGCCTTTCACAGCCCCACTGTACGAAGCAGAGGTGCTGGTCGGATATAAAACCGCCCTAGTGGCTCTCTCCATTTCTTGGACTGTGGGTTCATCATTATTGACCAGATGGATTTCTACATTCTTGTCTCGAAACCTTCCATTTTCATAGAACTGTTTTATAGTATCAACAATAATGTCTGCACAGCAATCTCTTGGAAAATTGAAAAGGCCAGAACTTAGAGCAGGAATCGCAACAGAAGTAATGTTTTGACTTACAACTGTTTGTAGGATACTAATGACAGTATTAGATAACAAGGGTGCAGCTCTATTGACATCTTTCTTGGATGGATTTTGAGACACTTTGGGACCCACAGCATGTATGATATAGCTACATGGGAGTTTTCCAGCACGAGTGAGTACAGCTTCGCCTGTTTTCACTTTTCCACATTTCTGTATAATGTCATCACTCCATTTCTGGATCATTGGTCCCCCACACTCACTCAGGGCTTGTGCAAGACCACCTCCATGATTTAGCTTCTCATTAGCTGCATTGACCACAGCGTCCACTTTATGACGTGTAAGATCATCTTTCCAGACTGATACTTCAACTCTGTTGGACAGCTTTGCGGAGTACCTCATCTCAGCACTCCAATCACCACTTGTGTGTCTACCAAAGGAACCAGCCTCTTCCACATTGTGAAGAATAGCGGTGCAATTAAATTTTTCTTTAACAGCATGGCAAAAGGCACTTTTACACTTTCCTAGAATGGCAGCATGTCCTGCAACCAGTGGCATGACATTCTGTTCTATGTCACTCATGGCTCGTTGCTTCCTCAGGACACAGACCTCTGTGGAAATAAAGTATTGATCATTATACAAAAATATTTGACCACAAATTCATTAGTCAAAATATCCTATTGGAATGTGTACAGGATTTATATTGGGATTTCTTACTTAATTTAAAAACAATGCTAAAGCATAATAAAAAATCATTTTTAAGTAATACATTTGTATTTAATTTTTACAGTCCTACTGAATATTGTGTAATGATTATTGTATCCCTAATAGTTGTATTGGAATAACATCTTACTAATGGCGAGTTCAAGGACATGAGACTGAGAAATACCTACATGAGTTTCAATATCCTAAATAATTTTCTTGAAATTCCTTTTAATGGCCTAGTGGCTTTTATTCCTTTTGGTAATTTTAATAGTCCCACTGAGAACTACAGTTTCTAAGGGTTCTTCACTTTGTTTTGTTCTAATTCTAAGAAAAGTCTTCTACTAAGGTTGCCTCCTAAAAATGATTTGCTCGTTGTAACCCTCTGCATAAAAAAAACACCTGCTAAATGGTAACATTAACAAACGTCAATAAATGCTGTAAAATTATTTTGCTTATAGTTCATGCTATGCTAAGCAAGAATTAATAACTAATGTAAACAAATGAGATGTTAAGTGTGACCGAAAATTCTTCAGTCACCATTAATTAACATAAAAAATAAATAAAAATAAAAGATTCAATGGAAGTAAATGGTGACCGAGGCAGAAGAAAGATCTGAAGAAAGATGTCAAACAGGTTTAACCACTTTTACCGTAACAACTCAAACAAAACTGGACAATTCCGCAACACACTCAAAATAAAGCGAGTAAAACTAGCCTATACTATAGTTTAAGTTTGCACTGATGTAAAGCATGTTATACAAGTAAGCGTAAGATCGTGTTTGTAAAGTTGAAACACGTCGTCGTTTAATTAACGACACAAGAAATCCTGATCGCTGGACCAAAGTTCCCCAGTAACATGTAGCCTAACTGAAGTAGCCTTGTTTTTGACATTACAAACAAATCTTACGTTGGATTTGACAAACTTCTGTCAAGACAGGCACGTCAATGACTGCCAAAAATCACATAAAAAAGTTTGTTAAAATTGAAATCGAAAGCAAAACAGTTGCGCGACCTTCAATGCATTAAACGCGCACAGAGGCTATACGTTAGCTAAATAACCTATTACGATGGTCACTCACCTTTTTATTTCCTATTCTGCAATACGTCCTTAGTTTTACCCAAACAGATGGTTTCAAAGTTTCGAAAAGAAGAGACTAGCCTACTGCAAACGGGTTTCTGCTTGAAGCTGAAACGGTTTTTTTACGTTGTGGAAAAAAACCCCGCCTGATGCATGACCATATACAGAGAAATCAAAAGTGAAAGTCTAAGTCTTTACACTGAGTTCAACAAACACCTCAGTCACAGGACAGGCAGAAATGGCAACTGATGAGTTTCCATTCGCTCTCTATGTGGAGGGCCAGTGGGACCCCCGCACTTCCAAACTAAAAAACAAACTTATCATCTATTTCCAGAGTAAGAAATCCGACGGAGGCGACTGTGAGGTGGAGTACCCTGTTTCTGGCGGACAGACAGCAACTGTTCGGTTCAAATCAAAGGAAGGTAAAGTTGCCTGAACTTCTACAACTGTTACTAGGCTATATAGGCTGTATAGTATATAAAGTGATGCCTAATATGGGAAGTTTTTTAATTATAGCTAGCTTAATTATCTCGAAACATGTTATGGAGTTACCGTGGGAGGAGTCCAAGAAAGGAAACTGTTAAAATTTGTTTGCGTAAAGGTGCAAATGAAACTTAATAAGTTTGTTCACTCATGTAGGCCTATGTTCTTATATTTGTCCCAGTGAGACAGCGGGTTCTAAACAAACAGACGCATGAGCTCAACATTGGTCAAAAAACAGTGAAAATCACTGTGAATCTTCCGCCATCAGAGGTCTCTGTTCCTCAGGTGAGTATTCAATATAACAACCGAGTAACGTGGACGGCTAATACTTAAACTTGGAGTAAAAACTCAACTTTGTTTTTTAGGAATCGACCTCTTCGACCAGCATCATCACAGCGGGTAAGTCAGACATCCGGCTTCTGCTGCCCTCTGCTGGATACTTTCTGTTCCGCCACACCTAGCACCCCGAACTTAACCAATGTTACCAAATGTGCTCGTTATTATAATATTATTATTATTATATTTTTTTTACTAAACTCAAAAATATGAAATAGTATTAATAGCATGATAGCCAAACATGAGGTTACATCAACAAAAGTCGTTTTAAGTGTTAGATCAAGTAGAAAAAAAAATATTCAAAAAATATTGTTACCACTTTTTATAGTTTACTCTGATAAATTCCGTAACTTGTAAAACCAACTGTACAGTTATAACAATCTAAACATGTTTGCAGCAAAATATAACAAATTGTAGACAGTGGCGGCTCCAGGATTTTTTTTGTTAGGGGTGCTGGGGGGGGGGGGCTTAACAGTTCAGAGGGGGTGCTAAAAAACTAAATAATTTTATTATTTATAAGCCTATAAGCTTAAGCTATCTAAATAGCATGCAAATTCAGCCACCTTGTGTTATACAGCAACTTCGAAAAAGGCACATTTTAAATTTTTAAATTTTTCTGACCATCAAGTGTCAGTCACTCTCAATGACAACTGGCAGGAAAACATGGTACATTCTAACCATTTTTTTTTTACAATAGATAAAGTGCCGACAATTCATACAACTATTTCCACTCAGTGGCATAGCGGAGGGGCCCCACGATAACCTCCCCGTGCTGAGATGTGTCGTATCATGTGTCGACGATAGCCATAGATATTGTCAAAAGCATCAAAAATTTCTGTGGTATTAAACTTCTCATATGCCACTGTTATTAGTGATATAACTTCTAATGCCAACTGCCAAATATGACACTTACAAATTAATACAATTATGAAGGCACATAAGTAGGGATTTTTTTTTCTTTTTTATTGTTTTCTTTTATTTATTTTTACACATCTATTTAGTCATTTTTTCTGACCATCAAGTGTCAGTCACTCTCAATGACAACTGGCAGGAAAACATGGTACATTCTAACCATTTTTGTGATGTGTCGTATCATGTGTCGACGATAGCCAGAGATATTGTCAAAAGCATCAAAAATAGGCATTATTAAGAAGATTTAGCATTTCCAATTAATGTAGGCCTGTTAAATTCTTCTTATTATTATTAGGCCTATTATTATTATTAGGTTACTTTTATTATTAAATTACATGAAATTATTGCCCCGCAACACAAGTTATTAGCTTACTCCTCATTGAAAATGTTTTTAAAAAGTTTTTTTAAACAAGTCTGATAATTTATATAATGAATTATTGGCCTATAATTAAAATTATTAACACTGCAGTCATCAATGAAAATTAAGAGCAGCTTTTTTTCGTGCACCGATTTTCAAAAACAACCTGTTTAACGCGAAATATGTTTCTTCTCATGTTTTTCACGATATGGGCCACAAGAGAAATATTAGGGAATAATTTAAGACAGTTATATGCCGTTATCACCATATGTTGAAGTAGTTTCGTCTCTCGTTGTCTCTCAGAGAATATGCGTCGTTAATGCAGCGTTAGAAAGCTCTGTCAGTTTTTTTATTTTCACCGGCATAACTCTTGCGCACAGTTTGCGCATTGCTTGCTTGTGTTACTTGACCCGTCCCCCATAATATAAATAGTTAACAGGCCACATATTAGGCACTTTTTTAGGTTTTTAATCGTTGTTTTTCAGTGTTAATGAAAGTGACACCAAAAAACAGGAACATTTGGAAATCCTTGGGGGGGAGGGGTTCCTCAGCGTGATATGAGTTACACGAAAGTAGCACTGGTGTCATAAACAAATGGGTCCGCCTAGGATAGCCCTTTGTAATCCTAGTAACACTTCAAGGCCATGATAGTAGGTCACCTATCACTGAGTAAAAGTCAGTTCAGTTTTCTGCAAGTGCCGCACAAGTCCTGAAAAGTGAAGCCAAAATGTTTCAATCACCCCCAGGTTGCTGGCTGCAGTACAGCTCATAAACCTTAACCTCTCCATGTAAACAAATGGGACATGAGCCAAACTAAAAAAATCAAGTTACACTTAAAATATTTTTATCCCAAATATGGTTTCTGTCATTTTACGTAGTTCTTATCGCACTGATGAATGTTCAAGGCAAGAGCCCTGCTCATCATTAAAAACTAATAAGATGGTCTAGTAAGTGCACAAGGCTACATCATAAATGTGTATGCCCTCATGGCAGGAAAATACTGGTGGAAGAGAGTAGAGATGTGTCATCAATCTATTATTATTAATTTAATTTTTTTTACAGTCTATGGTTTTCTGTTCCAGTGTGTTAGCATTGCTATTGTATTAACAAGTGATCTTTTTCAGGGTAAATATTACAAATGTGATTTTTTTTTATTAATTGCATGCTTTTATCAAAAGATCAAAGACAATATTAGATTTATTAAGCAGGCAGGCTATACTACACTATGCTGAGCAGATAAGAACATGGAATGTTTATTTTTTACAATGTATGGCTTTGAATAGTTAACATTATTAGTAATATTTAATTTAGAATTCACATTAATTTACATAATTACATTTAAGACTACATTTCATGAATATTTAAACCCATTTGTTCATGACACCAGTGGTAGTTACCCAGATGATATACAATATTGTCATGGACGACTGTACCAGAGGGGTTCTGACATATTAGTAAATGTTTGATCACCGAGCAGGATTTAAAATGGCGATGGGAGGCAAGCACACTGACAAGGACGCTGAAGACTGCAGCCTCTAGCATCAGTCGCTAGTGCATCTCTTAAGAACAGTGGAGTGAGGTTTACTCACACAGCTCTTACCAGCTGGCCTCCATTACAAATTGATGATCAGAATCAAGTATTCTAGTTGTGTAATAAAATGAATTGATGATATGTATACTTTGTATGCATACTTCGTAAATTATATGTATACTTTGAAAAAAAATCATCTTTACATCATCAGCATAGTACGCACTCACCTCGCAAATGCCTTGAATACTTTTTGCACTTATTTAGTTTGTCCACAATGCACTAACACTGACCCAGTCCACTATTCCCAGTCCACTATAGTCCACTATTTTAAACAGGAGGTGGAATGACAATAGGCACCTGCGTTGACGAGCGCTTGTGTGACTGGGTAAAAAGATACCCACAACTCAGTTTAAACAAATACAAAGACATTTTTTATTGGTCATAACATCTGGAAAGAAATAGCACAGACACTTGACAAATATGAAATTTCCTACTGCATGTGTTAAATGCTGTGCATCCACACACTCTATCAAATGGAGTATACTTTGAAAGGATGTGCATTCAGCTGTACGCATCGGCATCAAACTTTTGCATCAAAACTGAAGTATACTTTGGGTTTTAGTATGGTCATTTGCATGACACCCTACCACAAACACGATACCCAAGTTTACATGTTAAGTGTTAAATGATAATCCTGAAATTAATTCAAATTGAAGTAATTCTACATATATTTGTATCAGCATAGTTAAAACGTTTTAGTGTTTTTACATTCAGGTGAACCACAGAGAGAAGAAGAAAAAGAGGAGAAGGTTGAGCCACTTGAGGAAACGGAAGAAGATACAACCCCTAGATCAGCTGTAATTGAAAACATTCAAAACATCAAAACAGTGTTTCTGACAATGCTGGTGGAAAATATCCTGAAAGGATCTTCTGCTGAGTCAAAAGACTTCAACATCGAAACATCGAAATAGAGTAACTGTGCTGTAGTGGCATTTTCCAATAGCAAGTGTAAGTCATGGGTTGTATCCCACAACACAATGTACTCTTCAGATGTGCATGCAAAATTCTAGCCTTTTACTAAGGTCTTAGTGGTGGTCACCGTGCTCTTATTTCCTGTTACTTATATTTGATTCCACAGATGCAGAACATTTCTTTGTATCCTCTCCAAGCAATGGAATAATTAAGAAGAAAAACATGAAAGTCCGATTGCTTGAGATGACTTCAAAAGTGAAAGCTGAAGGCTTACCTCCAAACTCAAACTCTGACTTAGTCATGCTGTATTTTGACAAATTTGGAGAAGTAGAGGATGATGGGGTAACATTTGAAATAGATCAGTCAGCAATAATAACTTTTACAAATCTTGAAGGTACATGAAGTAGTAACATTTGATTTATTAGTTGAATTTCATTTTGACAAATGCATAAACTAAACAATGTATGCTTTTTCAGATGTGCAAAGAGTCCTCAAAGAGCAACATCAGCTTAAAAAGCAGCCTTTCAGAGTACTGCCGTACTATGAAACACTACAAACAGCTCTATATGGTAAAGACAGACCCCCCCTGAGACTTCCAGAGGCATTTATTGAGAAGATTGATAGAGCTGTATGGCACCACTTAAAGGAAAACAAAAAATCTATGGATTATATCAAGCAAGCTATCTCCAGTCATTTTTGTGAGATGGATTTTCAGTCCTCAGCAGTGAAGATCAGTCCTTCTCAATCCCTACTTAACAATGGTGTGCAGACAAGAAAACTCATTCAGACATGGAGAGAAAATGCCCTCTCTGTGTTTTTATCATTAACATCTGAGTTTAAATCCACTGAGTTCTGCATTCAGAAGGATGCGTGGACAGAGATACAAACTGAAATCCAAAAAGAAGTAGTGGGAGAGGCTGTCACACTGGTTCCCAATGTGGATGAAGGAACAATAACTGTAGCCGGCCTGAAAGAAGATATGAACAGGATTGAGGGAATTCTGACAGAAACTGTTGAGAGAGTCACCCAAAGAATCCAAAGGGAGAAGGGCAGTGAGACGGGTGAAACCAGTATGACTCCATCCATTTACAATCTCGTTCTCCGTGATGGTTTGGAGCAGCAAATTTGTGACAAATTTCCAGAAATTAACATCACATACCATGTGCACAGCCGAAAGTTAACTTTTTACGGTCTGAAACATGAGGTGCTGGAAACAAAGAATAAGATACTGCAGGCTGTTCTTAATTTGATTCATAAACCAATTGAGCTCCACCAATCTGTTTTAGATTTTCTGCTCACCAAGGATGTAGAGGAAATGACCAACAATTTGTTTTTAAACAAAGGAATCAATGTGGCATTAGAAGCTGATGGAAAGAGAGTTTTGCTTGTTGGGAAAACAGACAATGCCTTGAGTGTTGGTGAGAAGCAATTGCAGACAGATCTGAGTCATCTAAACTTCAGTGTAGAAGATCCCAGTGTTCTAGGAAGATCAGACTGGCATGACCTAGTCTCTCACATAAAAAACACTGTCACAAATGTCACAGTACAGACAACTGTCAACCAGGTGGTGGTTTCTGGCTTTGTAGATTCCATTACCGATGTTGAACAAGAGTTACATAACTTTGTTCAGGAAAACTCTCAATTTGAGAAAACTCTGAAGTCTCACAAGACTGTTGTCACATACATAAAGAATCATAAAAAGCAGGATTGGTTTGAAGAGGTGAAAGGTAATGTGAATGTAAACTTCAAAGGTGAAGACATTGTGATCAGTGGCTCAAGGCTTCATGTCTCTAAGTGTGTGCTTCTGTTTGAGGACTTGCTTAGATCTGTGCATAACTGCACCATGAAAATAGTTAAACCAGGGGCAAAGAAGTTTTTCAAGGAGAAAGAGTTAATGTGTGTTACATATGTCCAGACAAATATGAATTGTTTGGTTCAGTTACTAGATGAGTATGACCACCCACATGACACAGTTCAATCACTGATAATAAAACCTGTTTATCATTATAAAACACATGAAGGAATGGAGATTACAGTAAACAAAGCTGACATGTGCTCGTTTCAAGTGGATGCAGTGGTCGGTGGATGCAAAGAGAACCTCCTACTGGATGGAGGTTTAGTCAAGGTCCTCTCAGATGCTGCTGGTCCTAAACTTCAGAATGACTGCAACCAGACTGTCAAAAAACGGAAGTTGACAACAGGTGATGCTGTTCTCCTCGATGCAGGAGGGCGGCTGCGATGCAAACATGTCATCTTAGCAATAGGACCTAATTATAATATTAACAAACCTCAGGAGTCTGAAAAGCTCTTGAAAAAAACTGTGAAAAAGAGTCTGAATTTGGCAGATCAAGAAAGCTTCCAGTCTTTGGCAATCCCAGCCATTGGCTCTGGTGTAGCTGGTGGTGGTTTCCCACTGGACTTTTGTGCAGACACCATTGTGAAAGCTATAAAAGAGTTCTGTGATTTTGTTGAAGAGGACAATACACTGAACAAGATTCACCTAGTTGACAATAATGATAAGACAGTTCAAGCTTTAGAAGCAGCAGTGAAGAAGGTTTATGGGGCCAGTGCGCATACCCACAGCATGGCATCTGGAAGCAGTTCAAGCAGCCAGCAGCAAAATCAAAACCATGCAAGTTCTTCTCCAAGCCAACACCAGACTGCCACACTCTTTCAAGGAGCATCACAAAGTTTTCAGACAAAAGAAGGTTTAACCATCACCCTTATGAAAGGAAACATTGAGGACACAACAGTGAGTTCAGTATTATTACACATAATTGTATTTGGTGTCTTACTTTTTGCTGAAGCTCATTTTCTATTTGAAATGCCAAAATGCTCTTGAAGGGATGTACTTGAGAGGGTTTTATTTATGTTCGTTTTCCTCCAAAAGTTTCAAAGGGCCCTCCGCCTTTTTCATTTTTTTGTTCATTTTGAAGTAGAATGTCGGAACATTATTTGAGCTGACTATGCATCTGTAAATATCTGCTTTTTTGTGCAGATGGACGTCGTTGTGAACACTCTCAGCAGTGACCTAAATCTCAGCGTGGGAGCTATTTCAAATGCCCTTCTCAAAGCAGCTGGTCCTCAGCTTCAGGTTCTGCTCAATCAGCAAGTCACAGGCTCTGCCAATATTGGAGCAGTCTTTGAAACAGCAGGTGCAAACCTGAAGAGCAAACTGGTGTTCCATGCTGTTGTACCACACTGGAATCAGGGACAAGGAAATGAGCAGAAGGTAATACTCATTGATTGATTTTTGGTGATTAGTAGTTAAAAAAAATCTGTTTTATATAAATGTTTTTATTCTCTTTGAGCAGGTGCTGGAGGATATCATGGATAAGTGTTTGAGTCTGGCAGAGCAACGTCAGCAGAGCTCCATTTTATTCTCTGCCATTGGCACAGGAAACCTGGGGTTTCCAAAGCCACTGGTGGTCTGCACTATGCTGGACTCAGCCTTCAAGTTTAGCAGTAAAAGAAGTTCAAAGCATGTGAAGGAAGTGGTATTTGTTCTTCACCCCAAAGATACACAAACCATTCAGGTACAAGATGTATGATGTCATATCAGTCTTTTTTTAGATCCATGTGGAATTCCACATCTGCAGATTTTTGACCCTTTGTAATCCTAGTAACACTTCAAGGCCATGATAGTAGGTCACCTATCACTGAGTAAAAGTCAGTTCAGTTTTCTGCAAGTGCCGCACAAGTCCTGAAAAGTGAAGCCAAAATGTTTCAATCACCCCCAGGTTGCTGGCTGCAGTACAGCTCATAAACCTTAACCTCTCCATGTAAACAAATGGGACATGAGCCAAACTAAAAAAATCAAGTTACACTTAAAATATTTTTATCCCAAATATGGTTTCTGTCATTTTACGTAGTTCTTATCGCACTGATGAATGTTCAAGGCAAGAGCCCTGCTCATCATTAAAAACTAATAAGATGGTCTAGTAAGTGCACAAGGCTACATCATAAATGTGTATGCCCTCATGGCAGGAAAATACTGGTGGAAGAGAGTAGAGATGTGTCATCAATCTATTATTATTAATTTAATTTTTTTTACAGTCTATGGTTTTCTGTTCCAGTGTGTTAGCATTGCTATTGTATTAACAAGTGATCTTTTTCAGGGTAAATATTACAAATGTGATTTTTTTAAATTAATTGCATGTTTTTATCAAAAGATCAAAGACAGTATTAGATTTATTAAGCAGGCAGGCTATACTACACTTTGCTGAGCAGATAAGAACATGGAATGTTTATTTTTACAATGTATGGCTTTGAATATTTAACATTATTAGTAATATTTAATTTAGAATTTACATTAATTTACATAATTAAATTTAAGACTACATTTCATAAATATTTAAGCCCATTTGTTCATGACACCAGTGGTAGTTACCCAGATGATATACAATATTGCCATGGACGACTGTACCAGAGGGGTTCTGACATATTAGTAAATGTTTGATCACCGAGCAGGATTTAAAATGGCGATGGGAGGCAAGCACACTGACAAGGACGCTAAAGACTGCAGCCTCTAGCATCAGTCGCTAGTGCATCTCTTAAGAACAGTGGAGTGAGGTTTACTCACACAGCTCTTACCAGCTGGCCTCCATTACAAATTGATGATCAGAATCAAGTATTCTAGTTGTGTAATAAAATGAATTGATGATATGTATACTTTGTATGCATACTTTGTAAATTATATGTATACTTTGAAAAAAAATCATCTTTACATCATCAGCATAGTACGCACTCACCTCGCAAATGCCTTGAATACTTTTTTGCACTTATTTAGTTTGTCCACAATGCACTAACACTGACCCAGTCCACTATTCCCAGTCCACTATAGTCCACTATTTTAAACAGGAGGTGGAATGACAATAGGCACCTGCGTTGACGAGCGCTTGTGTGACTGGGTAAAAAGATACCCACAACTCAGTTTAAACAAATACAAAGACATTTTTTATTGGTCATAACATCTGGAAAGAAATAGCACAGACACTTGACAAATATGAAATTTCCTACTGCATGTGTTAAATGCTGTGCATCCACACACTCTATCAAATGGAGTATACTTTGAAAGGATGTGCATTCAGCTGTATGCATCTGCATCAAACTTTTGCATCAAAACTGAAGTATACTTTGGGTTTTAGTATGGTCATTTGCATGACACCCTACCACAAACACGATACCCAAGTTTACATGTTAAGTGTTAAATGATAATCCTGAAATTAATTCAAATTGAAGTAATTCTACATATATTTGTATCAGCATAGTTAAAACGTTTTAGTGTTTTTACATTCAGGTGAACCACAGAGAGAAGAAGAAAAAGAGGAGAAGGTTGAGCCACTTGAGGAAACGGAAGAAGATACAACCCCTAGATCAGCTGTAATTGAAAACATTCAAAACAGTGGTCAAGAGTTTCTGACAATCTGACAATGAAATATCCTGAAAGGATCTTCTGCTGAGTCAAAAGACTTCAACATCGAAATAATACCAGAGAGTAACTGTGTAACTGTGGCATTTTCCAATAGCAAGTGTAAGTCATGGGTTGTATCCCACAACACAATGTACTCTTCAGATGTGCATGCAAAATTCTAGCCTTTTACTAAGGTCTTAGTGGTGGTCACCGTGCTCTTATTTCCTGTTACTTATATTTGATTCCACAGATGCAGAACATTTCTTTGTATCCTCTCCAAGCAATGGAATAATTAAGAAGAAAAACATGAAAGTCCGATTGCTTGAGATGACTTCAAAAGTGAAAGCTGAAGGCTTACCTCCAAACTCAAACTCTGACTTAGTCATGCTGTATTTTGACAAATTTGGAGAAGTAGAGGATGATGGGGTAACATTTGAAATAGATCAGTCAGCAATAATAACTTTTACAAATCTTGAAGGTACATGAAGTAGTAACATTTGATTTATTAGTTGAATTTCATTTTGACAAATGCATAAACTAAACAATGTATGCTTTTTCAGATGTGCAAAGAGTCCTCAAAGAGCAACATCAGCTTAAAAAGCAGCCTTTCAGAGTACTGCCGTACTATGAAACACTACAAACAGCTCTATATGGTAAAGACAGACCCCCCCTGAGACTTCCAGAGGCATTTATTGAGAAGATTGATAGAGCTGTATGGCACCACTTAAAGGAAAACAAAAAATCTATGGATTATATCAAGCAAGCTATCTCCAGTCATTTTTGTGAGATGGATTTTCAGTCCTCAGCAGTGAAGATCAGTCCTTCTCAATCCCTACTTAACAATGGTGTGCAGACAAGAAAACTCATTCAGACATGGAGAGAAAATGCCCTCTCTGTGTTTTTATCATTAACATCTGAGTTTAAATCCACTGAGTTCTGCATTCAGAAGGATGCGTGGACAGAGATACAAACTGAAATCCAAAAAGAAGTAGTGGGAGAGGCTGTCACACTGGTTCCCAATGTGGATGAAGGAACAATAACTGTAGCCGGCCTGAAAGAAGATATGAACAGGATTGAGGGAATTCTGACAGAAACTGTTGAGAGAGTCACCCAAAGAATCCAAAGGGAGAAGGGCAGTGAGACGGGTGAAACCAGTATGACTCCATCCATTTACAATCTCGTTCTCCGTGATGGTTTGGAGCAGCAAATTTGTGACAAATTTCCAGAAATTAACATCACATACCATGTGCACAGCCGAAAGTTAACTTTTTACGGTCTGAAACATGAGGTGCTGGAAACAAAGAATAAGATACTGCAGGCTGTTCTTAATTTGATTCATAAACCAATTGAGCTCCACCAATCTGTTTTAGATTTTCTGCTCACCAAGGATGTAGAGGAAATGACCAACAATTTGTTTTTAAACAAAGGAATCAATGTGGCATTAGAAGCTGATGGAAAGAGAGTTTTGCTTGTTGGGAAAACAGACAATGCCTTGAGTGTTGGTGAGAAGCAATTGCAGACAGATCTGAGTCATCTAAACTTCAGTGTAGAAGATCCCAGTGTTCTAGGAAGATCAGACTGGCATGACCTAGTCTCTCACATAAAAAACACTGTCACAAATGTCACAGTACAGACAACTGTCAACCAGGTGGTGGTTTCTGGCTTTGTAGATTCCATTACCGATGTTGAACAAGAGTTACATAACTTTGTTCAGGAAAACTCTCAATTTGAGAAAACTCTGAAGTCTCACAAGACTGTTGTCACATACATAAAGAATCATAAAAAGCAGGATTGGTTTGAAGAGGTGAAAGGTAATGTGAATGTAAACTTCAAAGGTGAAGACATTGTGATCAGTGGCTCAAGGCTTCATGTCTCTAAGTGTGTGCTTCTGTTTGAGGACTTGCTTAGATCTGTGCATAACTGCACCATGAAAATAGTTAAACCAGGGGCAAAGAAGTTTTTCAAGGAGAAAGAGTTAATGTGTGTTACATATGTCCAGACAAATATGAATTGTTTGGTTCAGTTACTAGATGAGTATGACCACCCACATGACACAGTTCAATCACTGATAATAAAACCTGTTTATCATTATAAAACACATGAAGGAATGGAGATTACAGTAAACAAAGCTGACATGTGCTCGTTTCAAGTGGATGCAGTGGTCGGTGGATGCAAAGAGAACCTCCTACTGGATGGAGGTTTAGTCAAGGTCCTCTCAGATGCTGCTGGTCCTAAACTTCAGAATGACTGCAACCAGACTGTCAAAAAACGGAAGTTGACAACAGGTGATGCTGTTCTCCTCGATGCAGGAGGGCGGCTGCGATGCAAACATGTCATCTTAGCAATAGGACCTAATTATAATATTAACAAACCTCAGGAGTCTGAAAAGCTCTTGAAAAAAACTGTGAAAAAGAGTCTGAATTTGGCAGATCAAGAAAGCTTCCAGTCTTTGGCAATCCCAGCCATTGGCTCTGGTGTAGCTGGTGGTGGTTTCCCACTGGACTTTTGTGCAGACACCATTGTGAAAGCTATAAAAGAGTTCTGTGATTTTGTTGAAGAGGACAATACACTGAACAAGATTCACCTAGTTGACAATAATGATAAGACAGTTCAAGCTTTAGAAGCAGCAGTGAAGAAGGTTTATGGGGCCAGTGCGCATACCCACAGCATGGCATCTGGAAGCAGTTCAAGCAGCCAGCAGCAAAATCAAAACCATGCAAGTTCTTCTCCAAGCCAACACCAGACTGCCACACTCTTTCAAGGAGCATCACAAAGTTTTCAGACAAAAGAAGGTTTAACCATCACCCTTATGAAAGGAAACATTGAGGACACAACAGTGAGTTCAGTATTATTACACATAATTGTATTTGGTGTCTTACTTTTTGCTGAAGCTCATTTTCTATTTGAAATGCCAAAATGCTCTTGAAGGGATGTACTTGAGAGGGTTTTATTTATGTTCGTTTTCCTCCAAAAGTTTCAAAGGGCCCTCCGCCTTTTTCATTTTTTTGTTCATTTTGAAGTAGAATGTCGGAACATTATTTGAGCTGACTATGCATCTGTAAATATCTGCTTTTTTGTGCAGATGGACGTCGTTGTGAACACTCTCAGCAGTGACCTAAATCTCAGCGTGGGAGCTATTTCAAATGCCCTTCTCAAAGCA